GTGGTGGTTAAATCTGCCGTAGACTCGAACGAGGGGTGGCGGGGAGGAGGCATTTCATTGCTGCTGTCTTTCAGCCCACCCGCGCCCTAAGATCACATTTAAAAACCACAAAAAAAAACCCCAAAACCCAACAAAAAAAAAGAATGAGGAAGAACTCGGTGGGCTTTGCAGGGAGAGAGGCCCGCTCCTGCTCCCCCGGGACAGCCGTGGCCAGCTTGTCAGTGCTTTCTGTATCGTATCTCCGGGCCCGGTGGCCCTAAACCCCGTGGAAAGGCCTCGGGGCGCTCAGGCGTGGGTTTGCCGAGGGGGGCAGCACCCCTTGGCATGGCTGGTGGCGACGGGGCAGCTTGCATGATGAGGCCGGGACCAGGTCCCGCTGTTCACCTTTGCTTTTCTGTCTAAAATTCTGTGATGAATCAGTCCTGGGGTCCTTTTCTTCCTTTGTTGGTGGCGTTGATGCATTTTAGGCGGCGTCCGCTGTTGGTTTTGCTGCGCCCGAGATCGTGGCGTTGATGCTGTGTGGCATCTCGGGGGAAAAGCTGGGGCTTTCCGGCAGAAATGGGCAGATCTGGAAGGCTTTAGGCACTTTATGAGCACGGACTAAGCATATTGGCAGGGTATTTCTGTTAAAATTAGCAGCAGTGAAACAGTTGACTGTGGTGACATTTAAAATGTCAACTTTAGACTTCAAACGGCCTGTTGAAATGATTAAGGTAGGATGCACGACCAGTCGTGCATTTGGGAATACAAGCCCTGCCGCCTGAGCTCCCAGGCCGGCTCCCTGGTTGCCACCATATGCCGCATTAACATATGAATAGTTGATAGTTTTCAACTGTTGAGATACTTTGTACAGCCTGAAAATTGTATCAGAGTCTTCTCTACTGTATCTGCAGCAGCCAAAGGACAGATGATGTGCTTAGGTATTATTTAACCTGAGCTATAGCCAAAGTAGTTAACGGCCTAAAACTAAGTTAATTTAAAAGGTTGGGGAAGGTGTAAGAGGAAAAACTCACAAACTAGGGAAGATAAGGATGAGAAGTGTTTCTCCTCCATGAGAAGTTTTCCCGGATGACTGTGGCTATCTTTAAAAAAATATCTCAGTGAAAAATAAATGTTTGAATTAAGAGTCAGTTGATAATTCTTCTCTGAAATGTCTGATGGATGGACAAACCTGTAAGAAGGACAGCCGTGCAGGGACACTGGAAGTCTCCTGTAGCAATATTCTCAAACAACTGTGACATCCCTTGAGGAAAAGAAGAATAAAAATTCAACTTTAAGAAGTTATCTGTCCAATGTTACTGGTGGTAGCTTTGGTAATTAAAATAGAAATACTGAAAAACCCCATTCAAATACTTATTTTCTTCATTTTTCTCTGGGTTCTTTAAAATGTCGAGCTCAATTTCTATTTTTAGAGTATTCGGTTATTGGTAAACTTCACTTGTAAGGTTTTGGTACTGCGATACAGCTAGAATTTTTTCACTCTAGCTAAATTTATATTATTTTAAATAATTTCTGAGCATATGCATATATGTACATTCCCGACATGTTCAATCTGTTATTTTTCCTTTCAGAGCCCCTGTATTGATATGATTTATTTCTTTTTCCTGGGAAGATGTCTGTGGGTCTTATGAGGGGGGGAAAAAAAAAAGAAAATCCTTTTTCAAACCTAAAGCTAAATGATGAAGCAAATCTCATCTCAGCTGATAATGTTTCTTTAACAATCTGAGTTAGGGAAGGAGGTAGGAGAGGCGGTGCAGGGGAGACCGTTTTGGCCAGTGTCCTTGGACAAACTAGAGCCTTTCTAAAAGAAAAGCAAAAGGTAGGGGATGGTGTTTATTTCAAACTTTAAGAGCGAACCTAATTAATTGTGTCTGTTAGCTGATTTTCACCAAGGTTTCCTATGTGTGTCAGGAACAGCTCTTTCAAATAGGATATGTGTTCTTTGTCGCCTTCATGGTCTTTCAAAAAAAAAAAAAACCCACTCACCAAAAAATGCCAGGTCTTAGCTATTTCAATAGAAGTGAAAAGTAGGCTTGGATGTTTTGGTTTTCAGTCCATTTGGGTCTAATAGTCATTAACCTTTGTCTGGTGAAAGATGACGTTTTTCAATTGTACTGCAAGTCTTTGGCCTTTCCCACGCCTGGTGTCCTGCGCCCTCGCAGTCTCAGGGTGTCACATCTGCCATTTTTCCACCCTTCCTTTGATACATCTTTCTGCTTCCCTCTCCCTTCTGCTGGAGGCTTGCAATCCTTTGGGAAAAACAAATATTATTTGAGGTTCTTCTGAGATCCTGCTTCCTCACAGACTCCACGTCTCTGAGGTTATCCCCCCGGTCAAGGAGTGAGAGGAGTAAGTCCCTCTGTGGCTTCCAAATCTCGCTGTGGGCTGGAGGGTCTGTGGGGCAGCGAGGGACAGCGCTCTCTGCCCTCAGCACCTGTGAACGCTGTCTGCTTCCAGCAGCACGCTGCGAACAGGATCCCTCACGAGCACCCTTAACGCCTCTTGGGGGGGAAGTGTTGGGGTGTGCTTTGCAGTTTTGCAGTAAAAGGGAAAATTCGGTCCCAGGAAAAAAAAAAAACATTACTCCTTGCAAACGCAGCAACTGTGGTGCTTTCCCCGTCGGAGGAGCAAGCTGTGCACCAAGGAAACTTCACCTTGCTGCCTCGGGGGGCTGACAACTCATCCGTGAGCAGACATTTCCTACTGCTGAACTTGGCAGCGCTGTGGGGCTGGGAGTAGGTTAATCACTCGCCTTTGCTGCTTCCCATCGCTGCCTCCATGCCGTAGCAAATTGCCAGGTGCTGAGATTTACTAGATCAATTGTCCTGTATTAAAAAGAGAGAAAGGCAAAACCACCAGGGACGTCCACATTGTGCATCCTCTCTACGTGTTATAAATACATTCTGTGTTCCTCTTTCCGATTGACTGGGTCCCTCGCAGAGGAGCCAGCCTCGGGGGCCTGCGGAGTTTTCACATCTCTAACAAAGCACTGAAGGACGGGAAAGGACAACAGGCGCTGGATGCCGACTGTTCTGCGCCAGCGCCCTCCTTACTGCAATTATATTTCTGTTAGAAACCTCCACCTTATTTAAAGAGACATTGTCAACTGCCTCAAAGCTTCCTTTTTATAAAAGTCTTACAAAGCCGTTGAGATGTTTTCTTAATGACACGAAGAAAAATATTGTAGATGAAGAACACTGGTAAAGCAGAGATGTTTCTCCTTTTTTAGGATCTTGTATCTAACAAACTACTACATAAACTTCAAACAGTTAATCACTGTAGTCCCTTTTGACAAAATTACCGCCTCTGTTTCCAGAAGAGGGGAGTGAGACAAGAGGAGACGAGTGATCTGACCAAGGTTGTTCAGTGAGTTTGTTGCAGAGCACAGTTCTGGGTACCTAGATGGTAAAGGAGGCTCTGAAATTGCCTGGCTTTATAGCATAAACCAATATTTGATTGTCAGTAATAGGAGGAAATATTCCCCAGAGGCATCACAGTGTGCTACGATGTAGTCCCTTCTCTAGGAAGCGCTCAAGTGCATCCAGTGTCAGATCCAAGATCTGAGGCTGGATGGATTCCTGATTTTGGCTGGTCCGACGGGCTGTGCTTATCAGTGTACCGTCATGAAAGACTGCTCCAGGACTCGGAGAAGGGCTTTGCTGAGAAACTCCAGGCTTGCCACCCCTCACTTCAAAGACTGTAGATTATCAGGAACCTCCTAAAAACTTCTCTGATGGCGTTAACGCGAGTGGTTGGACTTAGTGTTTTAAAACGTGTTTGGTCCTCCTCCTCAGCGACTTTGGTCAGCTCAGATTTTCCTTGCATTTAGTCGCTATTCTCAAGTTTTATTTCTGTGTTTATTGGCAGGTGTACCGTTCTTCCAGGATCGCTGCCATGGTACTTAAGGTCTTCTTTCCATCATGCTGCTCCTCGGCAGAAAGTGGCATTTTGATCGGCCGCTGGATCTCAGAACAGAGCTCTGCTGTTATCCTTGCCGTGGTCCATTTCCCTTTTATTCCTGTCCAGGTGAAGCAGTATCTCAGTGAAGTCCAACGGGTGACTAAAGTCAGCGTTTCTGTGCTTGGCTCATGGAGCAACAGCAAACTGGAGAAAGAAGAGAGTCTGAGTGAGTTCTTGGAAGACCTTGGGACAATATTCTCCCATGAGCCATGGATTCAGATAAGCAAAGAGGGAGACAGCAAATTCTGGAGCTGTTCTACCCTTCAGAAACACTCTAACAACCCTAAGGAGGAAGAAATCATCTTAGTATACTATGACCAGCGCAAAGTCATGCTTTCCCACCTACATCCCCCTTTGGACACAGCTACCTCCGCTGACCACAAGGCAGACGACGCTTCAAAGCTCTCTGCCATCTTTGACACAGTTGCGAAGAGTAAGATACTGTTCATGACGGACAGATATGATGATGGGCCCCTCAAGTTGACCCACTGGCAG